CTTCACATGCTCCCAGACATGCTGCTCCATCTGGAGACAAAACTAGTGAATTACACAATAAATTGAGCTCATGAAGAAAGCATTAGACTACACACAGCCACAGATATACACTTTCTGAAAGCAAAAAAAAATTTTTTTTTTAAATAAGGACTTGGTCTGCATGGGACAGTTGACCATCTCTCAATGCCTTTAGCTGAGTAAGAAATCCTGGCAGATATTTTAAGTAAGTCTGACATCCATATCATAAGTTTAGAAATCTCCTAGAATTAGAAAGGCTTCCCCACATCAAGGGAGGGTAGCCCAATGAAGGAATGAAGAGAAAATCATAATCTGAATTTTTAAAACAATCGGCTTGATATTCACTACTGCACTTACATCAATGAGATTTTTAGCCTTGAAAACATCACAGATTTCATACATGATAATGTCATCTTTGGTCCTTCCAAGTCCATCGAAGTGAACATGCTGAACCACCACCTAAACACAACAGAAGTTTAAAAATAAATATTGAATTTGTTTCTAATGACAATTACCAAAATAACCCACACAGAAAAAAATATTGCTTTCCCAGTGAAGGTAAAGATTATACAGATTTGTATTTTAAATACTAATAATTTTTATTATCAGACACCAGTGCTATAAACAATTCTGGAAAATTGTTCGTTTAACACAAATGAAAAAGAAAGGGATATTCTACTTTCAGATCTCAAAGTGATTTAAGCAGAAGAGACTGTAATATGCTGCTGCTGCTGTTAGGATTTTAGTCACAGAGTTTTAGGAACAAAGTCACTACTAAAATCACATTCAGTTCTTAAGACACTTAAGGCAACACATGTAATTGGTTGTAGTTAGTCACTTCTCACACCAGCTACACACAAAGAAAATCACAAGTCATAAATACTTAAAACCTACTGAAATTGTTACTACTGCTGGAACATTTAGATTAAAATGCACCTCAAGATCACTAGTATTACGAGGCTTGGTAATTTCTCAAAATCGATCATTTTATCTTAAAAATCACAGCAAGTTCAGCTGGGACAAATGCACTATAATAACATAGCCCTTATATTTCTTCCAGACTCTTCATTATGACCTGAGAATAATTACTATATCAAAAAAGAGCAAAAAAGAAAGCAAATGTTTTATGCAGTTGTAACTAACAAAATAGCAGAATAAGAGCGATCTACATCTATTGTAAATTGCTAAAAAAAAATGCATTTGAATGCACAAGTAATGAACTAAATAAAGGACAAGCTTTATTACCTAGCTTCTGGGTGGGATGACTCTGAGCATTATTGGCGAAAGGAAAATTACATAAAAACCAGAGACAATGCATGATATCTCTCCCCTCCAGCATGGTCAAACATATTATGGGCCAAGACAAACATGCTATTGCATGTGAAATGGCTTAAGAAATCATCATGCACTGGCTGAAGTCACTGTTTGCTCTACTACAGTAATTCAGGTGGTGGCAGTTTGACCTGCTAGCCTGGCTACCCTGCACATGGAGGGATGGCAGCTGCGCATCCTGCTAGTGCACACTATCATGGAGACAGAAATCTTTTATGAGAGAAACTTTTTACTCTTTTATGAGTACCACCTAAAAGCAGGTATAAGAGCAACTTGAGCAGCTGCAAGAGCTTCAAGAATTTTAATGACTATTCTGGTGCTGAGGAAGAGGGAATAACAAATAGAAAACGCTAGGCTAATTTTACATTGACTTCTTTCACATCTTCAATCTTCCTTTACCCGGATCCCATAGGAAAAACGATCAGTGAAGCACGCAAAGCTGCAAGGGCATTTCTGTTAAGCGAAACAAAGACATCATTGAGTGTCTTACATCTTTGTTTTCGAGAATTTCCTGCTTGACTTCAGGTTCAACTTCGACTAGTTCAGCTTCCTCTCCCAGTGCCCCAAAGTCTGGCCCGCTCATGGGAAGGGGCTCCAAACTCTGCAGGAATAGAACATATTAAACATGGCTTTCTTCTTGTGCGATTTCTAGGTTGCCTTTTCCAAAGTAAAGAAGCCACGTTTCTGACACCGTGCCCATCAGATCATGCGGAAAAAAGGCAGAAAAGAAGAATTAAAATTGGTGGAATTACCAGCACGTTTATATGTGCTGTGAACCACATGCAGGCCAAAAGGTCTAGTGAAAGCTGAACTGCTTTCGTGTTCAGCGGTTTCCTGGAAGTGCTTTCCACGTGTCTTCAGTGGCTGTAAAGCTGAACACTCGTAAGTGGGCTACACATCAGAATTATCTGAGATGTTTCTCTACCTACCTTCCTAAGGTACTTCAAAACCAAAAAGAGCCATGCATTTCCTTAACTACTCATCTAGTTCCCTCAAAAATTTAAAAAACAACAGTAATCCCCCCCCCCCCCAAAAAAAAAAAAGCTTTTTTTTAAAGGAATACTCAGAGCATTAAAGGTGAGCCCTATGTTCATAAAAAGCAGAGAAACAAACTGCAACTCAAGCTGTCACTAGCTAGTTTAGGTTTTTGGGAGAGGGTCAAACACTGAAGAAATGAAAGGGGGTCCAGCATGTTACTTTATATAGTGTTTATACTCCTTTAAAATCTAAGATGCTTAAGAGGAGAAAAAAAAAAAAAAAAACACCTTTTCAGGAACGTGCAAGGCTACCTGAAGCAGCAGGGCTGTGTAATTCCCTAAATCCACTTTTAGTCTAGTGGCACAAATGCAGCGTTGGTCGCACTACTGAGGGAGGACTGTTTTGCTGGAATACTAAAGTGCTGTTATACACCTGGGCCGAGCCAAACACACACAGAATCCTCTCTCACTTCCTGACAGCGCCAGAGCAAATAAAAGGAGAGCATAAACATTCCCCAACAGGGAAACACGCAGCGATCTGCACCCGGCAGACATTTCCTTATCGCTTTATTTTATTCCGCAACCAGACATAAAAGCAGGACTGTGAGGGGACAGGCGGGAGGGCCGTTAGAAGAGCCGGGATAAGCGGACGCTCGGGGCCCCGCCAGCGCCC